CTACCTAACCAGCGAACAGGCATACTCTGGGAACGAGATTGAGTACGACCTGACACAAAAGCGGCATTTTGCCTGGTTATTCAGTCCAGAATCTGGACTGAGCGCTGATTGGCCGATTAGACAAACGATTTTTTAAATCTGTCATTTGATTGGCTGCTGCTAATTAGATTATATTATTGTTGTTGATATATTTTATAACGATCACAACTACAATTATAGCCGGCCCACTAAACGGCTGAATTTAAATTAAAACTGCAGTAAAATTAGAAAATAATCGCAAATTAGCGAAATATATTGCAACTGTAGCTTATATTAAATCGCCATCAGATTGCACTATCGACTAACTGACGTATAGTTATAAAGTATACTTAATATATATATATATATATATATATATATATATATATATATATATATTTATATATATATATATATATATATATACTTTATAATTCAGTTTGTTGATAAATACGGCAAGCGCCATGTAAAGCTCATTGTAGTCACTGAAACCTCTGCGGAGGAGAGAGCAATCGGGTGGCGATTTAATATAAGCTACATTTACGATCAGGTTAAGTTTTGTGTCAGGCTCTATTTGTAAAATACAGCCTGATACTCAGGTTAATTGTACGTACGTATTCGCAATTCGGGGGGGGGGACGCCTGGCGCAATTACGACGAGGCTTTTCGCCGCGCCGCCGCCGCGCGGGGTTTGTCTGATTGGTCAAACATGAACGTGGAGCTATTTAACATTCACACCGCCGCGGTTCGTGTTCCGCGTTCCCCGAGTCGCGTTCAGCATGCTGGTTCCAGTACCCCTTCGTCGTCGTCGTTTTTTCTTGGAGGTCTTGGAACAGTGGGCGTTGCACTGCCTTTGGCAGACAGTGTTGATATCGTCATGCATGTGATCGTTTGGCATGTGGAGAGTCGCATAGACGTATCTTTTGTCCTTTTAACGTCGCTGCGGAAACTACCCAGTCACACACAGAGGGCATCGTAAGCGCTTCTCCTTTTTTCTCAAAACGTTGATATGTTTAATTTTTCTGTTACGTTGTCGATTCTCCGCAGTACGATATTTATTCAGCGTGGCATAGGTCGTGTTGTTCGTGATCTTCATTCGTCGGCATCATTGTTTTTCTGGGCTGATAGAATTGTCGTGTGGTAAGCCAATACATACATACATACTTACATTTGTAGTCTAGTCTCTTTAGTCTATCATTAACCAATAAAATTGTATTCTAACTCGTTTTGTGTTGGAGTGGTTTTCGGTCGGGCGGGCTACGTATCTCTCATCTTTAATCTTTTTTCTAGGACGTACCCCACTCCCCTTATCCTCGTTCACGATCGACTCTATTTGCCGTCTTAATCTCGAAGCATTTGTGCACGAGCTCCGGGAGTATCCTAGTCCCCGCAAGGAGTATGTGTTAGCGGGAATTCGCGACGGTTTCCGTATGGGTTTCGTTCCAGAGCGTATGGTCCTTCCTCCGTCGCTCCGCAATCTCAAGTCGGCGTCTCGACACCCGGACGTGATCGACAAATATCTCTCGGCGGAACTCGCTCACCGCCGGGTGGCTTGTCCTTACCCGTACCTCCCCACTACCCTCTCTCCAAACCAGTCCGTTTGGGGTTATTCCGAAACGCCATCAACCGGGAAGTGGCGCCTCATCCTCCACCTTGCCTCTCACCAAGGAGCAAGCGTTAACGATGGTCTACCTAAGGATCCCTTCTCTATGCGATACATTTCCTTTGACGACGCTATTATATCCCTCGTTGACATTGGCCCCGGGGCCCTAATGGCCAAGTTCGACGTGCAGGCCGCCTACCGTAACATTCCGATCAACGTCTCCGACCGACATCTGTTAGGCATGTACTGGCGAGACTCTTTCTATGTGGACTTGGTGCTACCTTTTGGCCTCAGGTTTGCTCCATTCATTTTTGATTCGGTGGCGTCCGCTGTTCATTGGATTCTTTCAAACAACTACCACGTTCACCCGTTGTTCCACTACCTCGATTATTATTATCTTTGGGTCCCCCGTCGTCTCCAGTGTGCAAAGCCCACGTCGACACTTAGTTTACCGTCTTCAACCACTTGGGTCTCCTTCTTAATCATGAGAAATGCGAGGGTCCCGCAACCTGCTTGGTGTTCTTAGATATTGAGCGCGACTCGGTCACACAAATTGCTAGGTTGCCAGCCGAAAAGTTCAACCGCTCCATGTCACTCCTCCAGTCTTGGTCCAACACGCGTACTTGTCACCGTCAGGAACGAGAGTCGTTGATTGGCCACCTCCCCCACGCGTGCAAAGTTGTCCGTCCTGGGAGAAGGTTTTTGCGCCCTATGATTGATCTTCTGGCTCTTTTTCGCAATCGCTCGCACCCAATTCGCCTTAACGTCGAGTTTCGTCGGGATGTCCACTGGTGGCTCGCTTTCTTTCATGATTGGAATGGCATCAGCTTCTTCTTGTCGCCTGGCGTATCCCAGCTTCCCGACTTTTTCGTCGGGTCTGATGCAGCAGGGTCCATCGGTTTTGGAGCTATGTGGCGTTGAAATTGGTGTTTCGATTCCTGGTCGTTCCTGTCCTCCCCACAATCCATCGCGTTTATGGAGCTTCTGCCTTTCGCTGTAGCTGCGCATCTCTGGGGGCAAGTTGGTCAAGACTACAGGTCCAATTCCTATGCGACAACAGTAGTGCGGTGGATGCCCTCAAAGCAGGGCTCCCCTCCTCTCATGCATCTACTTCGCAGCCTCACACGGTAGCCTGTTTCAGTAACTTCACGTTCTAGGCCCATCACACGCCTTGTCTCGTTTTTGCTTTCAGCAACTCCACCGCCTCGCCCCCAACATGGACCACGAACCCTCGCCGATTCAATACAAGCTCCTCGTCAGTTTAGTGCCCCCCGATTTCCCAATGTTACGACTTCCTTGCACAAGGCTTGTCCACGTCTACCAGCCGTACTTACTCCGCTGGTCAACACCTGTTTGCCCGTTTCTGTGGCTTTGCACACCTGTCTCCTCTTCCGGCAGACGAATGGTCCTTGCCGCTGTTTGTCACGTGGATGCATTCGGTTCGTGGTCTCTCTGCTGCGACAATCTCCGTCTACTTGGCGTCCGTCCGCTCGCTACATATCGATAGGGGCTTTACTGACCTCTCAAAGACACTCCTCGCCTTTATCGTGTGCTTCGCGGTATCATACGGTCCCGTTCTGCTCGCCATCCTACTCGTCTGTCCATCACCCGGTCTGTCCTCGCCGCTATTCAGGCGGCTCTTTCCGCGGACTCGTATGATCATAGCATGATTTGGGCGGCCTGTTCTCTCGCGTTTTTTTTGCTTTCTTCGGGTTAGCGAATTTACCTGTTCGGGGTCGTTTTGATCCTCCGGTCCAGCTGTCGATTTCAGACGTGTCCTTTGATACGTCGGGTAGCCTTCACTTCTTCATCAAGACGTCAAAAACGCACCCGTTCCGCCGAGGCGTGTCTCTCTCCATCGGTGTGTCGGGTAAGCGCATCTGCGCCGTATCTGCGATTCGCCGTTACCTTCAGGTTCGAGGTAACGCTCCCAGGCCACTGTTCGTGTTATCCGATGGCTCTCCGCTAACACCGGTGGTGGTCAACTGTCGGCCCCGTGCGATTTATCCAACTTGGGATACGTGGTACCTACTCCAGTCACAGTTTCAGGATTGGCGCGGCCACCACAGCAGCGTCTGCGGGCATCCCGGATCACTTAATTAAGACATGCCTTATAGGGATTGCTGCATGATTTTTGGTTTTCACCATAACAGCTTTACGACATATTTTCAGCAATTTTGGACTACCTGAACACATTGTTTCAGATAATGGTAGCGGTTTACCAGTGAGGAGTTTCAGAAATTTCTGAACGATAACAATATTCAACATACTACAACCGCTTCAGGACATCCTGCAACGAATGGATTGGCAGAAAGGTATGCGGGTACTTTTAAAGATAAAGTAAAGAAAATGGGGGACTCAGGAGATCCATTACAGACAAAACTAGACCGGTTTTTTATTTCAAGGTTTAAAGAACCTTTTACTTGCTGCATGCTTGTGTACTTGGTCACGGCTTTCGTTCCTTCGCCTCACAGCGTGCTAGGCCAATTCTCCGGGCAGAAGTAGACGAACAGCGGTCTGGATTTCCCGAGAAGAGATGGCCGATTTCTTGTTGTAGTGAGCCAATTTGGAAGCTTCACCGACAATTCGCTCGAAGATATCGTTGACGAACGAGTTCATGATACCCATGGCTTTGCTGGAGATACCAGTATCGGGATGAACTTGCTTCAGAACTTTGTAGAAGTAGATAGCATAGCTTTCTTTACGTTTTGGGCGTCACTTCTTGTCACAACCAACTCCGGCTTTCTTCCCGGCTTTCTTTCCACCTTTCTTTCCACCAACTGGTTTCACAGGCATTTTCTTCGCAAAATTTTCTTTCTTGACAGTAGAGGATTAGTCTTCGCTGTAGAGAACAGAATCAGAATCGTACATAACATTGTAGCAACACATACTGATAAATCTAGTGACAGTGACAGTGATATGAATTCTGTCAACGGTACACCAGTAACTATTTTGATGCAGAATATAAATTCTGTAGGACAGAAATCAGAAATCTCACCACAATACAAATTAGGAGTGAATATTAATGGTCAAGAAGTCTCCATGGAAATTGACACTGGAAGTTCAGTAACATTATTAAATTCTAGTGATTTTGAAAGAATGGGTGGTGACACAAATGTTTTGAAACCTGCTACAGTGGTACTTAAAAGTTATACGGGAAATGAAATCAAGTGCTACTGTATGGAGAAGACAACATGAAAGTCAAAGTGGGAGAACAAGTAAGTGACATAAAAATTCGAGTGGTTGAAGGACCATCACTACTAGGACGTGATATTATGACTAAATTTAGACTACTGTGGCACAACATTTTCAGTATTGTTCCTACCACTGCAGAGGATATTATACAACAATATCCTGAACTGTTCGATGAAAGAGGAGTAAGGAAACTGAAGGGGGTATAAGTGTCATTAAGAGTAAATGATGATAAACCAGTGTTTATGAAACCCAGAGTGGTACCTTTTTGCAATTCGGAAAAAAATACGAAGAAGCATTAGAGAAACTAGCCCAGGGGGATATTATTAAAAAAGTAGAGCACTCGGAATGGGCTTCACCGACGGTTCCGGCCTGTGATTAAGCCTGATAGCAATGTAAGGATCTGTGGAGATTATTCTGGTACAATTAACCAGGCAGCTACATTAGAACAATATCCAGTACCTACATTTGAAGAGTTACTAATCAACCTTTCAGGGGGAACGAAATTTACGAAACTTGATCTTTCACAGGCATACAGTCAATTAGAACTCACCCCTGAAAGTATTAAGTACACAACAATAAATTCCCATCATGGGTTATACCAGTAGAAACGATTGGTTTTGGGGGTAAACATTGCGGTGTCCATCTTCCAACGTACCATAGAAAATGTACTCAAAGGTCTTCCAGGATGCTGCGTTCGGATTGATGATATCTTGGTAACAGAGAAAACTGATGAGATTCATATGGAAAATTTGCATCGTGTTCTGCAAAGATTACTAGATAGCGGGCTTAAACTCAAGCGTGAGAAATTCCATTTCATGCTTGGGGAAGTTATTTATTTGGGAATGTCAATCTCGGAAGCCGGCATTTCACCAAGAGAGGAGAAAGTGCAAGCCATCAAAGATGCCGTCCCTCCGGCAAATGTTTCTGAGTTGCAATCTTTTATTGGTACAGCAAATTTCCTGCGTAAGTTTGTGCGAGGGTTCGCAGAAATTATGACACCTTTGTACAAATTACTTCGGAAAGGAACTCCATGGGAATGGAGTAAAACTGAACAGGAAGCATTTACCACTATCAAGTCGGCATTGTGTTCGGATTCTATATTAATTAATTACGACCCAGCTGCTGAGCTGGTACTTCAGTGTGATGCATCTTCTATAGGAGTTGGAGCTGTACTGCTCCAGCCTGTTCATGATGGCACATTACAACCAGTAGCATACGCTTCTAGAACTCTTAATGCAGCTGAGAAAAATTACGCTCAAATTGAAGGTGAATCGTTAGCAATTGTATTTGGAGTTACAAAATTCCCCCAGTATTTACTTGGCAGACATTTTAAACTCCTAACAGACCATAAACCGTTAATAACCTTACTGGGGGAACATAAGTCAGTTCCACAGTTAGCGTCGGCACGGATTAAGAGATGGTCGCTTCTTCTGGCAGCATACAACTACACGATTGAGTTTATTTCTGGAAAAGAAAATGTCTATGCAGACTTTCTTTCAAGGAAACCTATTAACATACAACTAACTCCGGAGGAACAGGTAGAGGTTAGAGTCATGTTTATCGAAGGAGAACAAATTGTTAATTCCACAATGGTTGCCATGGAAACTAAGAAAGATCCAGTCTTAAGTAAAGTACTAGATTTTACGAAGAATGGGTGGCCAGAAAAACCACAACCTGAATTACAACCTTATCATACTAGGCGATTAGAATTATCACATGAAGATGGAATTTTGCTATGGGACACCCGAGTTGTGATATTCTACTGAAGGATTTACATGCCGAACATTTCGGAATAGTGAAGATGAAACAATTGGCGCGTAAATACCTATGGTGGCCTAAACTCGATAAAGAAATCGAAGAAACAGTTAAGTCTTGTATGGCATGTCAGGAAGAAGCCAAATCACCAAATGCATCTCAACAAGCATCATGGTCTTGGCCTGGAGGCCCTTGGAAGCGTATTCATATAGATTACGAAGGTCCATATCTAGGGAAAATGTTCTTAGTCGTTCTCGACGCCTATTCCAAGTATCTTGACATTGTCCCAATGTCTAATGCTACTTCAACTACCACCATAACAGCTTTACGACATATTTTCAGCAATTTTGGACTACCTGAACACATTGTTTCAGATAATGGTAGCCGGTTTACCAGTGAGGAGTTTCAGAAATTTCTGAACGATAACAATATTCACCATACTACAACCGCTCCAGGACATCCTGCAACGAATGGATTGGCAGAAAGGTATGTGGGTAATTTTAAAGATAAACTAAAGAAAATGGGGGACTCAGGAGAGCCTTTGCAGACAAAACTAGACCGGTTTACGCTGACGTACAGAGCTACCCCTACAGGTTTAGGAATGTCACCATCAGAGTTGCTAATGAACAGGTAACCACGGATCCGATTGAGTGCGCTTAGGGAGAAACAATCGAAAAACGAAGTCAAAATATTTCAAGATAATCTAGATAATCAACCAAGGTACAGTCAAAATCAAGCAGTATTCACACGAAATTTTGGCAAAGAAGCACGATGGCTTCCAGGGGTTATAGTAAAGATAATTAGTCCTAGAAATTATGACGTGAAAGTGGGGGATGTTATGTGGAAACGACATGAAGAACAATTGCGTCCACGACACATACCTAGTTTTGAAAACGCGGAACAAGCGAAGTCCGAGATGGAACAAAATTTGGTCCCAGAAACGAAGATAGAAACAAACAAAAGAGAAACGATTCCTGCACACACGGACGATAGGGTACCTGCAGTACCAAGTGCGGTTACGAACGAGTTCGATACGTTCACTCCAGTTAACACGAAAAGTAAAGATCGGGAGTGTGGAGAACTTACTAGTAAAATGGACTCACTTATTAACGTTACACCAAGCGAGTCCACAAGAAGGTATCCTTTACGCGAGCGTAAATCTCCTAAAAGGTTTACTGAATAGTAAAAACATTTTGAACTTAGGTAGATTGTTGTGTTATGTTACTGGTTTAACGTTTACAGTGCAGGGACACTTAAAGAGGGGGCAGTTGTTATATATTGATTATATGAAGTACTGTATATAGACGCATGCGCAAGAGAGTCTCGATAGAGAGTTGAGAGGGCGAGGAGTCCTTTTTAGAAATAGTCGTTATTACACTTATTTGGAGATTAAAGGTTAATATTTTGGCATTCAATCCTTACTCGGCTACACGAGAAATACATTACAGAAAGTATCCATTGCCATTGTACAACGATACGAATGTTTTCATATACGACTTTATAAGATGATATAAATACATACTTTTTTTGTGTTCCCTAAATAGGGATTTTCAACATTGATTTACAAAAAATAAATGTTGTTCTATTTACAAGTTTTAGAATCTAGAATTTAAATTAAGGTAAAAAGGTAAGACATTTGTATAAAGTTTAACAAGGTAAAATTATCTACTTATATATTTGTTCTAGCATGCTTCGCTTCAGTTCGTTTTTGAAAGTTTTTAGGGAGTCTAACTTTTTTGTACTTTATGTCCAAATCATTCCAGAGTGTAACGCCTCTATAATGAAAGGACCTTTGACCTGCGGAAGTTTTGTACAATGGTATTTGCAGTGAGTCATGGCTACGTGTATCTCGTTGATGAATGTCAGAACGTTTTGTGAATAAATCACTCAAATAATGTGGAGCAAGTTCATTGACACATTTGTACATCATAATAGCCTCTCTTAGTAGTAATTGTTCCTTTACTGGGAGCCAGTTGAGTTCGCGTAAGCCCGGCGAAATATGGTCGAACTTTCCAATATTTGTTATTATCCTGCATGCAAAATTTTGTACCAACTGTAGTTTCTTAATGTTGGTAGACGAAGTGTTTGACCAAACCGTTGAACAATAGAACATTTTGTTCATTACAAGTGCCGGGACGATGAGAGTTAAAGCTTCTTTATCGAAACATTTTTTGACTCGGTTTATTTGGCACAGGGAATTCATACATGAGGAAACCAGGTTGGTGATGTGCTGGTCATATGTCAAATAAGAGTCGATTGTCATTCCTAGATCTTTGGAAAAGGAGACGGGGGTAATAGTCTCGTTGAGGAAGTTTATGGTCATATCTACGGGAAGTTGTTGTAGGTTTTGCCGTGTGCCAATCAGCATGTTTTTGGTCTTTCGCGGGTTAATAAGCAATTCATTTTCGGAACAACTGTTTGCAATCAAATACAAGTCTTCCTCAAGTTGTTGCTTTAAACAGTCCACGTTAGCCACAGTGAAAGATAGTAATATCTTGGAGTCGTCCACGTACGATTCAAGTTTACTATGGTGGACTGATGAGGGCAAATCGTTAGTATAAATACTAAAAAATAAAGGTGATAAAATTGCACCCTGTGGTACACCATAAAAAACAGGGAGAGGAGTAGACACAGTAGATCCAATTCTGACTAATTGAGTTCTTCCGGTCAAGTAACTCTCAAGCCATTTTGCAACGCTTGGAGAAGCCCCGACGTTGCTAAGTTTTGTAAGGAGAAAAGTATGATTTACACTGTCGAAAGCTTTAGATAGATCTATTAGAATCAGTGCAGTAACCAATTTCCCATCCATGGCCTTTAGGATAGTATCTCCAGTCAAAAGATTCAATGTTTCGCATGAGTGATGTTTCTTGTTCCCGCTCTGGTGGGTTGACAATTTTTTGTTCTTCATTAGATACGAACCAAATTGATTCAAGGCGACTTTTTCACAAATTTTCGAAAGAAAGGTAAGGAGAGAAAGTGGGCGGTTATTTGATGCTTCTTCGTGGTTTCCATCCTTTAACAAAGGGATAACTTCTGCCTCTTTCCATGCTATAGGGAACGAAGATGACGACAGTGAACAGTTAATGATATCGGTGAGGGGCCCAAGAATTACCGGTAGGCTGTGTTTGATGACACGCATACTCACTTTGTCTTTGCCGGGTGATTTGTTTGACGGCATAGCTAATGTGATGTTCCTTATTTCTGAACAAGAGACTGGGGTGAAACTAAATCTATCATTTTCTTCAGGGTAGCTGTTATCTGTGCGATTTACGTCAGAAAGATTCCGAGCTGGATAAACACTAGGATCTTGTACTAGTGTTGAGGCTTTCTTTGCTGCATTC